ATTTTCATATATGTAATATAGTTTTCTCTAATTGAAAAGTAATCAGTATGACAATCAGCTTATATTTCATTCAGAAGAGTTAGTTTTCAAATATCAGTTTTTTTATTTATATAATGTTTGAGATTATTCAGCTTAACTAATTATTATATTTAATAAATATTTATTAGTCTAATCTATAAGATTAATAAATTTACTATTTACTATAATATATTCTATTTCTCTATCAAATTATTTATTTATCAGTTAAGTTTTTTTCTTTATTTTTTTCTTTTATTTTATTCTACTTTAATTTTATTTAAGATGTTTTTTATATAATTTATAAGATTAATATTTTTTTAATATATCTGATCTAAGTTCTTTGTTATTATTTTAATAAATTATCTCTTTGATATAAACCTCTCTGATATTATATTTATTTTAATCAGAGTCAATATATCTTAGTTTGACTTTCATTAATTATTAAATTTTCTAATAGCTTTTTGTTAGGCTCAGCGCCCGACCGAGCCCGACCGAGGCCCGGTGCCCGGTTAGACTCGACGTCGGATTAAGCTCGGCGCCCGATTAGGCCAAATATTCTCACGTGATCAAACGACCATGCGGGTGGTTATAACCCTGGCAGGCCCCAGCACCTCTTTCACCCCATCAAGCTTAGTATTTCGTTATATAGCAGTTAGCAACGCAGAGAGTTTCCTTCCTATGCAGCTCGCATTCGCTCCCTAACACTTTTGATATAATAATTTTTTCTAAGATTCAAAATAAAAAGTAAATAAAGACTTTTAAAGGGTTTTTATTTAAAAATCTACTTTAAAAAGAAAAAAAATAACTAATTTTAATATTATATCACAGCTTTAATCTAGATATAGATAAATAGATGTTTAATTATTAGCTAAATATACTATATCAATAAAATACTAAGATAATTTCTAAAAAATAAGTTTGAATAAAATTTAGTTTATATAGCTTTTAGTATTTTACTTCTTTCTTTAATATTTTAATCTTAATATTTTATTTTATTTTTTAGTATAATTATTATATTATTGCTATATAGTTTCTATAAAATAATTACAAAATAATTGCTATTTCAATACTTGAACAGAGTCTGTTCTATCTGATAAATAGAGTTTATTTATCTGATGACTGAAGTTTACTTTATTTAGTAGATAAAATCTATCTCATCAATAAACTTATAAAGTCAAATAATCTAAATAAAGTTTATTCTATACTATCATAATAACTAATATTATAAGAGAGTAGAAATATAAATACTGTAAATATTATAAAAAAATAGTAATAAATAAAAATATAGATATAGAATTAATTAATAACTAATTATTAAATCTTTTGAAGAAATTTAAAAATTTAAAATATTTATGTATATGAATAAATAGTAATAGATTTTATCTCTAATCTTTATAAAATAAAATATTAATAATATAATATATTTTTTATTTTTCAAAAAATATTAATTTTAAATGCTAATTTTTTAAAAATACTGATTTTAAAATACTGATTCTAAAATACTGAATCTTAAAATATTAATTCTTTATAAAATGTTTTAATAAGCAATAGTATGAGATCAAATAGCTAAGAAGTACAACTTTTTTCTATAATATAAGTATATATTAAATTAATTAAATGAATAAATATATTAATTATCTCTAAAATTCTAATAAATAAATATAATTACAAGAGCACAAGTAGTAATATCTGTATTCTAAGTCATATTAAAAGAAGAATTGAATTTGAAAAAAAAAATTTAAAAATTAATAAATTAAGTTAGCATAATTTTTTATATATTAATTGTACTGCTGCGCAACTTATATCTCATGTGAGTACATCATATCAAAATGATAAAAATATTAAAATGATAAAAATCTTGTAATTTCATTATCTTTATTATCTTTATCAATTTATAACTCATCATAATATCAAATAAGAATAAAAATATTAAAGACTGTATTTAAAAAGATATTACTTATCATCAAAAAAACTTAAATTTCAAAATACTGTCTCTGTTATGAGAATTTAAGATTTCTTATCAATGTCTCTAAGTGTGTATTAATGAAAGAAATTTGAATACTGCAAAGATTTCAGTTAACAAGAGATTAAATAAGAGTCAGAAGAATGTGATTAAATAATAAATCAAACTGCTTGATGAAAAGAATTATTTTCTCAAAGCTGAACATATTAAGAATTTCACAAATTCAATACTCAGATGTTAGCATATAGATTCTACTATCTTTCTTCTTAAAGTTAGCAAGATATAAACTTATAAATTCACTGAATATCTATTTATATATAAAAAAATAAAACAGAAGTCAATGAATTCAAAAAGAGTGGCAGTTGAAGATATTGAATATATTAATACATGATTTGAATGTCTCTAAATTCTATTTAAGTTTATATAATATAGAGATCTTCATAAAATAATTCTATATGAATTTTTATTGCATGCTACTCATTTACTACAACTTTTAAATAGTCTATCATTTCAGCAATATAAGCATTATTATTTAAAAGCAGTTAACTATACTGCATATCAAGATCTTATTAAGTATAAAAAATAGCAGTTTCTATAATATCTCTTAGCTATGTAAAAGTAGATATTTAAATCTGATACAATAGCTGCAAAAAATAAGTTCAATGTGGCATATATTCATAGAATTCTAACTGAGTTCTTAATACTCTTAAGCAGTAAATCTCATGACCTCTTCTACTGTAGATTTATAAAAATGAGAATAATTCAGATCATATATTTATCTCTTTCACTCAGCTATTCTCATTAAAGATAATTTAAAAGCTAAAACATTATATTAATATTGCAAAAAATATCATACAAAGTATTAAAAATACTTTTGATTTAAAATCATTTATTTTGACATATTGTTTGAACAAGATATTCAAAGTAAGTCTAATTCATATAAAACTTAATGAGCAACAAATCACTAAATTAAAGAACTTTCTCAATATCAGTAAATGCTATAAAGCTAAAATAATCTGTCATCAAATTCAAGTAGAGAAAGTCCTCACTATTAAAAATGCCAATAGAAAAATCAAGTAGTGTAAGAATAATATAGCTGAAAAGAGGAAAATAAAAAATAATAAAAACTTGAAGTTGATTCTATGAAAATTAATAATAACTTACTTATATTATAAACAAAAGTAGAATTAAATCAATTTAAAGATGACACACATACTGAGAATGATGTAGATAATCTTTTTATTATAGATTAGCTACTGATTGTTGATATAGAGTGCAATAATGAGAATATAATTCAAGATTTTTATCATTTTAGTGTTTTTATCATTTTGGTGTGGTACACCCACATGAGGTGTGGGTTGCGCAGCGGCACAATTGATGATTAAGTGAGATTCTGGCAGAATTAAGGTTTCATGGCATTATATGGCGCCTTGACAGGAAGAAACTTTTGAAAGGGCGGTTGTTAGGCTGTTGCTATTTCCCTTTTCGGACGATGCCGGTTTCCGTAGCCCCAAGTAGCCAATACGCTGTCATAGCCAGCGCCATCACACACTGGCGTCATAAATGAAATGGCATAGCGCAGAAGAAGAATATTTTTCATTGAACAGATCTATAAGGTTTCCTTCACTATTCCATCTTCCCACAGGGTTTTTAATGGAGGCTTTTGCCAATTATCTATATTTTGTATGCTGCTTAGCACATATTTCTGTTTCAATCATTCATTTGCATCTACATAATATTGCTCCCTTTCCATACGCGAAGCTCTTTCCTCTTTCACGCTAGTCCCATTTGGGACATATAGCCTCATTTAGGCCTAGCTTCCATATTTCTACAATTGTGTCAGACAAAATTCTTGCAGGAGCTCTCATTATCAAATAGAATATAATCATCAATTCCACTCTTACGCACTCACAAAGCTTTTTCAGTATGTTGATTGAGTCTGAGTCTTAACAATTTAAACCTACTATGCCAGGTAGTTATTGCCGCTTTTGGCGCGGAGGCACGTTGAGAGCTGCGACTCTGTCAAGATGCGGCATCCTGCACACATAGTCTCAATGGCACCGATACGGACTCCGGCAGTCAGAAGCATTGCGACCAGCCGCAGACCACCATTTGGAAATGCCCAGCGACGATGGGCCCGTGTCCGTGACGTGCGGCTGCTTACCACTCACCAGGATCCAAACCGAGTTCTTGACAAATACAAAGACAAGCTTGACCGTAAAGCCAAAGAGTAAGTACGCATATCAAATTCCCCAATTAATGTTGATCACCCTCACGAAGCTCCCTCCCAGTTCCACAAACAAGTGCTCACCATTAATTTAATGCCACAGAGAGGGATATTCTTCGATTTCCGCCCTCCGACATGCCTATCAAGATAATATCAAAAACCTCAGAACAAGAGCTGACTTCAATATACCACCAATCCCAGGTGCTTTACCGACTGCCAATGGCGGTTCAGCGGCCCGTTCCCTAGTGACTTCCCAGTCACCAAAACCTCCTACCAACCCCCCTACTCCAAGAAGCCAAATGCCCGGAATAAAACCTTTGTCCTCCTACATCGACATTCCCAAGATCCTCACACTCCCTGCCAAGGAAATCGAGACCGTCTGGCGCCTCCGACATGCGGCTAACCCCCAGTCTGTTTGTGCTACCATCTCGCTTGACACATACAAGCGTATGGTCGGCATTGCCCGACAAAACCCGCAATTTGTTCTACCCCTACCCAGGAAAGCGGCCGGCAGCTGGCCGGATGATGTGAAAGGTGGGGCTGCTTCGGGCCCTGTCCGATCCGCAGGTACAGGGGCAGATATTCATTTCCTGCAATGGGCATTCCATCCTCCCGCCGGCGCTATTACCTCAACTCCCAATGTCGCAAACACTGTTACTACCACCACACTAAACACACACACATCTACTGTACTCTTCACGCATCTGGCATCTTACAAATTACACGGAGCATATTCACAACCACATACGATCATAACACACTATCTGGACCTCGCAGAGACGAAAGGACTGGTTCTAATGAGTGGCGCAGTAGTATCGGATCGGGGTGTGGCTATGGATGAGGCGAAGTTATTGGTAATGTGGTTGCAATGGTTTTATGATTGGGGAGTTGATGGAGCACAGGCTGGGAAAAGAGCAGAGCTCGTGAGAATGTTCAACCAGGGTGATGTTAACGGATTTAAACTGGAGGATTTGATGGACGAGGTCGAGAGGGTGTAAGTGTCTTGTGAGCAGTAATAAGCGTTCTTATATCCGGTTGTGTAGGCGTAGATGTTTCCACGTCATCTTGGCCTTCAGGTTGGAAACAATTAATATACCAGGGAGGGAGCTTTAAGTAAGCAGATAAATAGAAGTGTGAGAATAAATTGGAAACTCGGTTTTCTAAGAGAACGCGTTTTTGCACTGGTTTGGAGAATAAAACCTACAGCAGCGAGCTGTGGGACTTAAAAGACGTCATACCCACCCACCCTTGTGGATCCTAAAACAGAAACAGTTCTGTGACCAGTTGATACACCCATCGCACGGACTCCGCTCGACACCTAATCACACTGGCGTTGAGTATTTGAATATGAAGAGTAGATGAGAGGCCAGACTTCTGGGATTAATAATAGCATTGCATTTCATTGTAGCTTTAGCCTGTGGGGATGTGTAAGAGTGCCACAGGGGGAAGTTTTTGAAGGGTATCTTGGACATACATCATCTAAATAGCTTGATGCAACAGCGAAAAATGGAGAGAATTAAACCCACAGGAAAGGAATAGGGGCAGGCATCAAGAAGATCATAAAATCACACTTCAAGAAAAAGAAGACGAAGAAAAAGAACAAGGAAAGTACATGTCTGCAGGGTCTGGCTAAATTACTGGGAAAATGAAAGCAACTTAGGAAGATAAGAACGCGGGAGGGTGGAGGAGAGTGGTAATGTATGATGTCCCATCTGATCTCAGCTGGATAGTTTCGCGATATCTTTCCGCGTATGGTGGCTGATTCCACCTTGTGCTGTGCTCCAGGTGGATGTCTGTTCCCGGAAACGGAAATAACAGCAACTTGCCCTCAGTTACCCTCAGCTCCCCTCAACCATCAGCTGATTTCCGTTCCTTTCTTTCACTCGCCCCAACACCTTGGTATGTAGAAGTAAAGAGATGGAAAGCAGTAACTAAAGGCAAGTCAATCGTCGATAACGTAATCCATCACAAACGAGTAAATGTGATCAAAGTAGCCAGATTCAGCAACGGTATCATTGTGGTGACCATTTGGGAACATGCGCCAAACCTTGGTGCTGGCTTTGCAAATCGAAAAGAGCTGGGCCATATGGTCCGGGCTAAAGAACGAGGGTTTCATGTGAGTATATATCAACTGGCAGAGTTAAGTCCCTAGGCACCTAGGCAGATATAATTTTGCGGGCGCTAAATTTAAACGTACGGGACAATTTCATCCTTTAGTCCACTTAAAAACAGAATCGGGACCTTTGTGATTTTGGGCAGAACATCCTCGCTAGCCCAGTATTGGTGGCAAAGGCGAGTGACGTACTTCGCAGCTGGGAAAACACTAGAGAGGAGAATTACAGTTAATAATGCATTAGACAACAGGCAACCAATGTTCATAGATTGAGGTGGTTGCATCTTGTCCTTTGGAGCAGCACGGAAGGGCCCAGTTTTTCGCACCTCGGAATCATCTTTTTCACACTTAAGAATGTGTTTTCTAGAATCAATCCAGCAACATCTCCTTGATGTTGGTTCTTCGCAGTTAAATCAATCGCCACTGCACCGCCGATGCTCTGTCCGTAGATGAGAACCTTTGTGCCGCTTGTTTCGGCTCGCTGCCGGATATAATCTAAGCCGGTTTGGGCATCAATCTTCAGACCCTGTTCATCTGGAGTGCCAGTTGACAGGCCATAGCCGCGATATTCGAGCATCAAAATATTACAGTTGAGGGACTGTCCCAGAGCCTGAGAGATGGGGAGACGGTGGCCTATATTTCCGGCATTGCCATGGAACATGAGTATTGTGAATTTCGGCCTGGAAGGGCGCTTGTTGGAAGGGCGAATAAAGAGTGCTGCAAGAGATTCGCCATCAGGGGTTGGAATTCGAAGATCCTCATAGTCCTTCATTCCAAAATCTGAGGGATTGAGGACTTCAGTGCGCGAACCAAGGGGAACATTGCGGGGGTAGATTATATCACTTCTCAGACCAGCAGCAATCAGCAAAGACGTGAAGCAAACTCCAAAAACACCGAGAAAAATATACAAAGGCGGAAGCCCCGGGGTTGTCGTTGCGGGGTGGGAGGGCAAGCATGGGGTTAAAACAGGAAATTTAGTTGCTTACTTCTGCTTGAAATAGAGGATGCCACTAGCTAGAATGGCCAGGCCGGATGACGCCAGAACAGGAAGTCTGAAAAACTGCACTACATTGCCAGCCATTGAAGTAAAATTCCAGGAGGAAAGCGGCAAAGGGGAGTCTGTCATATTTTTTCTCACTCTGAGTCTGGGAACAAAAGTTGTAAAACTTTTTTCAGGTGGTAAGTTGAGCAGGAATTGGTAGGAAATGAGGCAGCAGCCAGGCAGGCGTGGGGAAGAGTGTGATAAGTTGTCTAGGTGCCTTGTGTGAGTATTTAGATAAAGTAGGGTCCACAAGCCTAAAATAGAGATAGGGGAAGTTAAGCTATCAAATACACTGCAGTCTGCAAGTGCTCTGCAATAATAGTCAATTTTTTCAAATATCAGAAGAAACAAACGTAGCAACAATTGCAAGGGTAACATAATTAACCATCAACATGATTCATCACTTAAATAAACTTAACCTTATTTTGCAGTCTACTCAAGCTCACATATTAATGTTACTACTCTTCTTTTATTTATTATTAATATATATTTAGTTAATGACTATGATATATATTTCATCTAAAAGATTAAAATTTACAGATAAGCTGAAAATGACAGTTTTCACCACTGATTTAGACCTTCTTCTAACTGTCTAATCTCAATCATTCATATGAATCTATTCCTATAGCCGCGATGCTTCTCTTCATAAATGGTCATAAATTACTTCATTTTCACAGCTTTCAATCACTCACCTACTGCTCTTCTTTCAGTATTTTTTTTTAAAGAGAGAAATAGAGAAAGATTCACTTTGTCAGTTTTAACTTTTCTCTCAAGTTCATATTATTCTCTCTGCTTTTAGACTCTGTCACTTTTATCATATAGTCTATGATTTTCTTTTCTTCTCTTCTTCACAGCACTATCTGATCAGTTCTATTCATGAAAGTATCTAAGTCTTTCATTACTTGATTCTCTCTTTCTCTACTATTAGCTCTTCCTAAGCTGCTTTTATCATAATATCTTTATTTGATCAAATCTGATAAATAAAGCAAAAGTAAATCAAATATCAGATTTACTATAGATATTCTCTCTATACTGCATGCTATTCTTTCAGACAATGAGAATAAAAGTGGCTCTATCAGTAATAATAAAGATAATGATGCCAGTCAATCTATCTCTAAATACTATTTAACTTTAGTAGAAAGTTATGATATTACTCAACTTTAACAAAAATAATATATTTTTAATACTTAAAAAAAATTAATTAGATTTATAATTTTTAAGATAATCAATAATTTATTTAACTTTTCAACTATATTATAAACTTATTAGTATTATTAATTAGATATTATTAACTTATTAAAACTAATATAAAATAATAATAAAATTAAATTTTTAAATTAAAGAAAATAATTTATTTTTTATATATATTTTTTAAATGATAATATAATATTTATTATGGTAAGAGTAATTAATATTATTTAAATATTAGATATAAAAACTCACTTAAAATATTTTATTCTTAAATAGAAAATAATATTAAAACTTAGTAAAAATATAATTATTTAAATAAAATGTATAAGTATTTATACGCTTTCTTCTTAAATTATTAAATTAAAAACATTATTAATCTCTTGTAAATTAATATTTATATTATTATAGAGAAAAAGTAAATATAATAAATTAATTATTAAAAATAGTTAACAACTAATACATATAGAAATAGAAAGAAAATCATTAAAGAAAAAAGAAAAAATATAAATCTTATAGAGAATTAAGTTTTTTTTATTTATATAAAAAATAAAAACTTAATATAAGAATTAATATTTTTATAATAGAAATTATATAGATAAAAGAATATATAAATAGAAATTATATAGACAAAAAATTTTACAAATAAAAATTTATATAAATATAGTTTATATAAATAAAGATAAAAATATTATTTTAATATTATTATTTAATAAATATATTAATAGCAACTACTTTTTTTATATATAAATTAAAAATCTTTTTTATAATTTAATTATTTTTTCAAAATATCTTTTTTAAAACTTAGATAATTTTTGAAATTTTAATTTAAGAATATTTTTATTTAAAAGCTTTTATTGAAATTGATCAATTTCTTTATTTTTATACTATTCAAACAAGATTTAAAGAATAGATTATTAAAAATATACTTTTTTTAAAAAAGTAAATATTTATTAATAATTTTTATTATAAATTTACAATACTTGATCTAAAAAATATAAAATTAAAAAAATAAAAAATTGATTAGATTAAAATAATTTTAATAGTTTTAAAAAACTTTTATTAAATTATTATTGAAAAAATATATATCTAAGCTCTTTAAAAACTTTATTAATTTTAATTTTCTTCTCATCACATTAAGTACTTTCTTATATTATTATTATTAAATTTTATCTAGATATAGCAAAAAAAATATTTATAAAAAGTAAAGAGTATATAGTCTAAGATCTCTGTATCTAATCTTTATAAACTATAGACTAAAGATTAAAATTGACTACATATAGTCAAGAATAGAAATAAGTTAGAACTAAATACATACTTATAGAATATTTTATAGAATTAAACTTTAATTATATTAAATTTATTATTTTTATTTTATTTTATTTTATTATTTATTTTATTTAAGTTGAAAAAAAACTAGATTGAAATTGAAATTATATATATATCTTTTGTTAAAAAATTATTAAATACTATATTATTCTGAAATAAAACTTTATAAATATATAAATTAATTGCTATTTATTAGTTAGACTAGTAAAATAATTAAATTTTAGTTTAATTAAATAGATATTATAGTTTTTGACTAAATATATTTTAAATAATAATGATAATAATTTACAGACTAGGTAGACTCTATTCATTAGATAGAATAGATT